TTCTCATTTTTCCTCTCTCTCTCTCTCTCTCTCTCTCTCTCTCTGGTTAAAATAAATAAATAAATGAAGTTAAATAAAATAAAATTATAAAAAAATATTTAAAAAGAGAGTGGAGGAGCCAGCAGGTGGTGGTTAAGGTGCTGGACTCTTGAATGACCAACTGAGGTTCGAGTCCCAGACCTGGCATTTGCTTTCTTATGTTCCCTTTCTCTCTCTCTCTGGTGACCATATGTGTCCCATAACAAGTTAAAATAGTAAATAAATAAATAAATAATTTAGAGAGGAAAAAAGGACAGTGGGGCCAGTAGGTTGCATGGTGGTTAAGCCACTGGACTCCCACATGGCTGACTAGACTTTGAATCCCAGACTTGGCAGTTTGAAAATCCTGAGAGGAGAAGGAATTGTGGCCTGGCTGTCGTCTGCCCCGGGGAGGTGATTTGTCACTTCCCCTATCACTGTCTCTTTTTCTCTGCAAGTGCGCAAAAAAAAAAAAAAAAAGGAACAAAGAAACTTTAAGGGACATTGTTCAAGACCTCCCAAATACTGGGTGGAGAAATCTCAGGGTTCTATGGACTAGAATGATTAGGATCCCTTTCCAGCCAATATGCATTTCATTGTGTATCTCCTGTGACAACTTCCTCTGGGCCGTGAACATATCAGAGCTGATCCAAGACTAACTGAATGGAAAACATTGCTGTTCTGTCTGTCCACGGATACGGAGGTGCTACCCCCATGGCAAAATCTAACGTCTTGGGGCTGGCAGGTGGAGCGGTGGATGAAGGTGCTGGATTCCCACATGGCCGACCACGGTTTGAGTCCCGGACCTGGTGGCTTGCTTTCTCCTTTCCCTTTCTCTCTGTCTCTGTCTGGTCAAATTAAAAAATAAAAATAATAAATGGAATTGAATAAATAATTATAAAAAATAATCTAAGCTCTTATTTGCATGGCAGGGAGCACTCTGGGATCAAAGTGACGGTCCAGAGGTCACTCAGATGCCTTCGGAAATGAGTAAGCCAGTGATCTTGTCTTGGTGAAATCAATGAATGGATGAATTCCAATATGTGGGAAGCACTGGCGGTGCGTGTGCCCCGCCCTGTGTGCGGCAGCGTTAGGGACACTGCAGGGACTGAGCTTAGCTGCTACCCTCCTAGTGTTCACAGTCCAGTGGAGGGTCACAGGACTGCCCCGAGTCAGGGATGACCCAAAATGGACAGGTTGAGGGGGCCCATGGGGCTGGGGAAGCCCAGCGGCTGCATCTAACCTGATCTGAGGGTTAGGACGGACTTCCTGGAAGAAGGCACAGCTGAGCTGAGTCGCTAAGGATGGACTATGGAAGGAAGAGAAGGCTGAGGCCAAGAGTGGAGCAAGCGCCAAGATCTGCTGGTGGAGGGGAGAGGGCTTGATAAATCTGGGGTGCTAGCTGCTCCCAGTGACCAGAACAACAGGTGTGGACAGGGAGGGAGGGTAGCAAGGAGCAGACACCAGAGATGATGAGACTCTCAGGCTCAGGTTTAGAGCTGAGGCCCCGGGGAACCATGGGAGCTTTTGAGAACGAGCAGGGCACAGGCAGGTCCAGGCTTTAGGAAGAGCCCGTTAGCCACTACACTGAGGAGGGCTGAGAGGTAGAGGAGCCAGGCTGGGGCAGGAGGCCAGGGAGGAGAGCAGTGGGGACTCGGGGTGGCGGGGGAGAGTGAAGAGCCTGGAACAGAACCAGGGCTCTGCGGTGGAGTGAAGGAGAGGATTCGAGAGACACTGAGGAGGCAGAAAGTTGGGGCTTGGTTAGTAGCTAGCTTGGGAAGGACAGCACAGGGATAGTAAATAACACAGGCTGGGGGCCAGCAGGTGGCATGGTATTTAAGGCTCTGGACTCCCACACAGCTGATGACGATTCGAGTCCCAGATCTGGCGGCTTGCTTTCTTTCTCTCTCTGTGGTGAGCACAAATGTCCTATAGCAAAATTTTACAAAAATTTTGGGCCAGCAGGTGGCATGGCAGTTAAAGGTACTGGACTCCCACATGGCCGACCATGGTGGAGTCGCAGACCTGCGGGCTTGCTTTCTCACGTTCTCTCTCTGTCCATCTCTGGTCAAATTAAAATAAATAAATAAATAAATAAATAATTCTTTTTAAAAATAAATATATAGTTTTGTTTTTTAAGAGAGATATTTTTGCTATAGGGCGCATGTGCTTGCTGGAGAAACAGAGAGAAAGTGAGAAATCGCCCCCCAGGGGGACGGCGACACTGCAATTTCTTCTCCTCCATTTTCCTCTCGGGATTTTGGGCACACACTCACACACACCCAGCATGAGTTTTAAGTCATGAGGTCTCAGGACTCTAACCGTGTGCAACTACATGGGAGTCTAATGATGTAACCATTACGCCATCTGCTGGTTCCAAATAAATAATTCTAAAAAATAAAACCAAAATAACAAAAAAACATAGGCTGGCATTCTGCCAGTCCTGGGGGCTGGGCCTAAAAAAAACAGGTGATCTTGGAAAAGAGACTTCATCTCTCTGAGCTTTAGCATCCTCAGGTGCAGAATGGGCTTTTGTGGGGAATCAGAGAAGTCGCGCAGGCCGACACTAACCACAGTGAGGGTGCCGTGTGACTCATCGCCATTATTAGGGCCATCCTGATCCCTGACCTAGAATACTCCCAGCTTCTGCTAGCTAATCCCCTGTCATCCTTCACGATCTGCCCTGACACTCCACCGTCAGGTGTCCTTATTTGATGTCCTTTCATGGTCTCTACTTTTCCTTCCCAACGGTTACCATCTTTGTAGTTGTTAGTTAAATGTACAATTATATAATGATGTAATATCTGTTTCCCTCGCTGGACTGGGCGCACCATGAAACCAGGTCGTCATCACCACTATGTCCCCAGCACCATTCAATGCACGGCCAACCCCAAGCCATCACTCCACACTTCGGAATGAGTGGAAGAAAGAGTGAACAAATGAGTGAATATTTTATTAATAAGTGCAAGAGTGATGAAGTAACTGAGTGAGCAAATGACAGAATGAGTGAGCAAATGAAATTCATCGTAATTCCAAAACTATAAATAGCCTAGAACAGTGTAGATGAGTTTTTCATCTTTTAGAGTCATCTTTGACATTCCCGAGGGGGAAAATAGTAAACCCAGACAGAGCCATTCTTGGCAAGATGATTAATTGCCATACTCAGGGAAGAGGCTCAACCTCGAACAAAGCAGAGGAGCGCTGAACAAAGTGTAGGGTAAAAACTCAGTGTCCACGGAGGGTACAAAACGCCGCCCGAAAGGTGGAATTGAACCACTCTGTCGCTAGACAGCTACAGGTTTGAAGCCTGCACCCCAGACCACTGAGGATCATCCGGGCGAGACACACCCTTCCTCACGGGTGTATATAAAGTTAAAAATGTTATGCCTTTTAGAGTTAGGGTTATATAGTTTTAGACGGTGTGAGTTAGTTGATACCGCTAGGTACAGACATCTACCGTTGTCACATTATGAAAACCACCCTTCCAAAATGTTGATTATGCCTGTGCGGCATGAATCTTCTCACTCAGGAAACTGTCTCATTTGCATAGCGCGATGCATTCTGGGAGGCAGTATCGGGGCTCTTGCCCTTTTGCTTCTAGTTGTTAAAGGACCAGAAGGCCCTTTTCCCAAAGGAAAAAGTCCGACTTTTTTAAAACAGAGGCTCATAATGCGGCGTTCAGAAGCCCCCTCCTCCCCCGAAATCCTAACTCTTCTGCGGAGTAGTGAATGTGCTCTTATCAGTCTGGGTAGGAGGCTGTATGGCTGGTGCGACATCTGCTGTTCTTCTGTGAAACTGCAGGGACCCACGGAGTTCAGCTTCAGTCAACTACTGAGCGTCCGAGTCCCAGGCACTGTCCTAAGTGCTGGAAATGACAGTCATCCTGTCTTTGTTGCGTTTAGACACTAGCGATCATAAATTTCTGGACCCGCGTTTTATAGTCGAAGAAAGCAGACTCAGAAGCAAATAGTACCATACTCTGAAACCCGTCCACCCGTCCACCCGAGGGATGCGAACCTATGCCATCAATTTATTTATTTATTTTGGAGAGATTTTTCGCTATAGGGCGCGTGCGCTCTCCAGACAGAGAGAGACAGAGAGACAAAAAACGAGAAATCACCCCCCACCCCGGGGTATGGCCACACCGCAGTCCTTTCTCTTCCATTCTCCTCTTGGGATCTCGAGCACGCACGCACACGCACTTGGCGTAAGTTCAAGGCACTGGGTCGGGGATTCGAACTGCCGTCGACTACATGGGGGGTGTGTGTCCAGCGACATAGCCATTATGCCAGCTGCTGGTCCGCGTCCCCCCCCCCTTTTTTGTGTGTGTAAGAGAGATTTTTGTTCTAGAAGCGACATAGCCAATATGCCAACTGCTGGTCCGTGCCCCCCCC